CTCTCTCTCTCTCTCTCTCTCTCTCTCTCTCTCTCTCTCTCTCTCTCTCTCTCTCTGTGTCTCTCTCTCTCTCTCTCTCTCTCTCTCTCTCTCTCAATCTTCTATCTATTGGGGAGAGATGTGCAGTGCATTGTGTGTGTGGATGTGTGGGTGTGTGGGTGCATGTGTGTGAGAGAGAGAGAGAGAGTTCTCTGCCCACCACTCCTACTATTACTACTATCGCCACCCCTGCAGATCCCAGTTCCCTCCCCCCACCAACCCACCCCACCCCAAGGAGCGGTTATTGGAAAGAGCTGTGCAATGCATTATGTGTGTGTGAGAGAGCAAGAGAGACAGTGCGTGAGTTCTCTACCCATCATTCCTCCTCCTCCTCCTCCTCCTCCTCCTATCTTCACCCCTGCACATCCTACTTCCCTCCCCCTTCCCCCTCCTTCCCCCCCCCTCCCCTCCCCCCACCTCAAGGAGCGATTATCGGGGAGAGCTGTGCAGTGCATTCTATGTGTGTGTGTGTGTGTGTGAGAGAGAGACAGAGAGAGGGTGAGTTATCTGCCCATCACTCCTCCTCCTCCTATCATCACCCCTGCACATCCCACTTCCCTCCCCCCCAACCCACCCCAAGCGGCAATCAACAGAACCCTATTTTTTTAGGGTTTTTTTAGGTGTGCGAACTGAGCTACCGTCTTCACCCGAATAGAACGCCCCGTTATTATAGCTGCATTTGGCACAACTTTCAGTCCACATGCAGCGATAATTACCGAGCGTTTTATTCGTGTGAACACGGCAGGCTCCTTGGTCCCAAACCCTTTTAAACTACCCCACTAACCTCTGGGCCGACGTCCCACGTGGTAGACAAAGAGGATTGCATTGAGCTGCTGAATGTAGACGTGTTTTAAGCAGAGATGCATAAAAGCAGTTCAATCTCGATATTCTGCACCTTTCCACAAACGCGTCCAGATTCAGATGTTCAATCCAAAATCCTCGTGTTGCTACAAGGTAGTGGGACCTCGCCCCTGAACCTCTTTTTGCCTAGGCATAAATGAACTGCGCACCAAGTTTTTTTTTTTTTTTTTTTTTTTTTTTTTTTTTTTTTTTTTTTTTTTTTGAAAACAGAACCTTATGGCTCTGGCTCCTTTCCATTCTGGGAAGCGTCAGTCTGGTTCCTATTCCGCCGGGAAGGCAAATTTTACATAGTGGAACTCACCCACGCCCCTCCCCGTAATGGTCGGGAGGTCCCAGTAGACGGCATGGATTTCTTCCCTCGGGAAGGATGTACCACCTCTCACCCCTGCCTAGATTAGCCTAGCCAGCTACGGTGCTGATCGCTCCTCTCAGCTTGAAAACTGTCTGGTACTACATTGCAAAACTAGAGCAGAGCACTGTGTGCGTCCTTTGACGATTGTCCTCACCGAGGTTGGTTGGCCTGTGACGGTTAAGCAAACCGTAATGTTGGTTCTGTACATCCCTTTGGGCCTTCTACCTTCGCTACTGGGGCTCGCTTGAATCTCCCCAGCATTTGTCTCAGAAATCCAGCACAGTCTGCTTCCTTTTGTCTGCATCTCCATAGCTTCCAGTGCAATAATCCACACAGTGTGCAGTCTGAGAAATCTAAGTTTTGCTTAGTGAATTCGTGTGTTTACTGGGGTTACGCGTTTTCTTCGGTTGGGACTGAGGTTTCCTTATGAATCGCCCGTATGTGACGAATCCGTGATTCCGTGTCCATTCCCATGAGTTGTGCGCTGCCCTTGCGTTTGCAGTGAAGCCTTTGGGAGGGACTTACCTCGAAAATGCTTAACCATGAGGGGTAGTTTGGTAAGATAGTCATGGAAGACGGGTACGCAGACGTCTTGAACAAATTTGTGTTTCTGAAGTTTTCCATATGGTTTCTGAGCCAGGATGGTTACCTACTGCGGCGGGATTGGATCTGGACATTACAGAAGAATTTACCTGCAATTCCAGAAATCCTACAGGGGCAGGACTGAAACTTGGCCTAGTATGAGGACTGGATAAGGGTTGTACGGACAGGGACGTAAAAATAAAGGTACACATTTGGGTGCCGGTAACCCTTGTACGGACGACCCTTATCCAGTCCTCGTACTAGGCCAAGTTTCAGTCCTGCCCCTGTAGGATTTCTGGAATTGCAGGCAAATTCTTCGGTAATGACCATCCGACAACAAGTCCTAGGCCTGTCCTTGGTGCAGTACAGGAGGCCTTGAGGAGCGTCCCCCGACATTGCTGACCCACCACCGCTGCCATACTGGACAGCCCTCATCAGAATTTGGAGACAGATTATCCAAATTTCCTCAATAGGTACACAAACCTAAGTGCAAAGGAGAAGTGTGGAGACAACCGCTCTTTTTGGGAATCCGTGAGCACGAAACAAAGCCAACCACTCATGGACCCAACCGTCTTCCCCCTAATAGAACGTGGGCACGAAACAAAGGCAACTACTCATGGACCGAACCGTCTTCCCCATAGTAGAACGTACACGTCGGACAGTCATTATAGCTGTATTGGAAGCAATATTCTGCCTAGGTACGGCAATAAGTAAGGTATGTTCAATTGGGAGGAAGAGGTTAGGGATAAGCGTTGACTAAGATGGTTCTCTAGCGTGTCCGGAATGTTAGTCGTCTATAGGATGATGAAGCTAAGGACTGGGCCGAGGAGAGTGGACTCAGAAATCAATTGAAGGGTGGCACCACCCATGTCCGAGCAATTGCCAAAAGTATACCAAATGGATGGAAATACTTGCATGTGAGTTCCCCCCTCCATCCTCCACCTCCCCCTTCCTTCCTGGGATGTGCATGATATAGGAAGTGGGGCGTCTTGGTTCGAGAAAACCCTCTCTGCAGAATGCCGCCTATGTCTTCTCCCAGCAGAAGACGAGCAGACTGTCTATCAGTTTTCGACTTTCCACAGCCTTCCGGAACATTTTCTTTTCTACGACAAAAATTTCAAAAGAGTTGAAAAAACCAAACAAAAGTTAGAAAAGTTAAGAAAACACAGTTAAGTAGAAAAAACAAAAGTTAGGAACCGGACTGACGCTCCCCAGAATGGATATGGAGCCAGGACCATAAGGACCTGTTTTTCTTGAAAAAAAAAGAAAAAAGAAAAGAAAAGAAAAGAAAAGAAAAGAAAACAAAACAAAARAAAAGAAAACAAAAGAAAACAAAGTTACCGTGAGTTACGTAAAAAAAATAAAAGTTAGAAAACACAGTTACGCAAGGGCGAAAGAGGGAAAAAACTTCAAAAAAGCCTAAATTACAAAATTAGTAAATTTCAATACTGTGTCATATCTTGCATGCCTTTTTTTTTTTTTTCTGCAGGTGAGTTTTTCATTTTGGCAAATGGTGAATCAGCAACAACTGGGGGTTCTTGCCCCTCCGGCTGGACGAGGGGCCCTTTGTCTGGTATCTGCCTGAGGGTAGTGGACTGGCCTGTGTGTCGAGCATGTCCCATTAAGGATCCGGGACCTTCGCCTCTGAAAGCGTGGTACCAAGCGGAGTTGTTTTGCGAGCAACATGGGGGCCATCTTGCATCGCCCAAATCGCACAAGGAGTTTGCAGACATTTATTCCTTGGGGATAAATGCCAGTGTCCCATTCGACAACAATCCGATGAGCACATTCAGTGTGGTTGCATTTCCGTACATTGGAGCATATAAGGACCCTGATGCCAGACGTTCACTCTGGGCCGATTGCTCGGTGGCATGGGATGATGCTGTCGTGACATGGCAGCCGGCAACGTCAGAGGACCCAAAAGGTGATGCATCGCCTTCCTCACTGTCTTCAACAAGCTCAGTGGTCGCCGCAAGTTTATTCGGCAGTCGTAGTCCATCCAATTGCAGCCGTCTCTCTTTCAGGTCACCGACATGCCCTGGATGCGGACCTGATTTCTCCACTCCGCTTGCGACATGGGTTCCCTGCGATCAGCAACGGGCATTTGTCTGCAGTCGGGCACATGACAAGAATCTGACAAGATGCACAGGTTCGACCATGATGTCTCCCCTGCTCTTAACTGGATTGCGATGTTGTCCTTCGGCATCGCCACACCACTCTCGAAATGTGCAAAATGAGAATGAACTTCGCACTAGACCATGGCCAGATGCACCCGCCTCATTTTTGTCTTTTTCACATTTCCAGAGTGGTGTGGCGAGGCCCCTTCTCAAAAATGGGTTGTTGTGATGTCTCCCATCTCAAAAATGGGTAGCGGTGTTTCCCTCCTGAAAATGGTTTCAATCTTGCCCAACTCAAAATGGTTTCGAATCTTTTGATGCTTCACATCTCAAAAGTGGGTTGTTCTTTGCTTGCAATATCAAAGGATGTGCGAGATTTGATTTTTCATGACTTGCCTGCCAGCCATGGCACGCGAAAAATCGTACGAGCTTGCTTATGTTTATTTGCAGGCATCGTTCCGCAAGAACCAAAACACGAACACAAACACAAACACAAACACAAACACAAACACAATTGCTGACGGAAGGAATAAGGACATCGATTGATAAGAGGAGCACACATCCCCTCCCCTCCCCTTCCCCTGGCCCCACCTCTCCCCTCAAGATGGTATCACCCCTCTGCAAACAGTCTTGGCTGAGAAGTAATTACGGCATCCCAACATGTTCCGTTGGCCTCACGTACCGTGTCCAGGCACCCTTA